CAATACAAAAAAAACAAAACAAAACAATAGCATTTGCGCAAACGCTATATGATATATATATATATAACATTTTTTTAACGCTATAATTTCAAAAATAATAGCAATGAAGAAACGCTGTTAAATAGTATTTAATAGCATCGACAGAACCGCTATTGTACTGACCAATACGATAGCACAACAAAATAACGCTATGTAAAGTATCCGATCTATTATAACGGGCGATGATATAGCGCTTCATAAACCGCTATTGTATCTTTAGATAGCGGTTTACTGGCGCTAAGAAAAGCCTTTTTTCTTGTAGTGTACATGGCCAACAAAAAATGCGAAAAGTAGCTAAGCATATAGAGGACAAGGTCAACGTGGAGTTTAATGCTCTAGGTGAGAGTGGATCAGTTACACTCTCCTCTTTCCTAGGTCCTCTCGTGAGAGAGCATGTCCCAGTACTTCTAGATGACTGGAGACATCTCGATGAGAAAACAAAAGATGCTTTGTGGGAGGAAATTCAGGTTAAGTTATTCAAACGCTTTCATATCTAATTAATGTTGTAAGCCTTTTACTAACTTCAAAATCTTTAACAAGGAAGATTCAACTTGAAACAAGAATGGCAAAAATATGTTGTTTTTAAGCAGATGGGTTGTTTGTGGAGGCCTCTAAATCCAGAGTGTCTTCGAAAGTCAGAGCTCCCAAAAACAAGGCTCAACTATAGATAATTAAGCCCAGCAACATACAATCTGCGACTGCGTGGAACAGTTGGATTAAAGGAAGATGTACCACAGCTTTTAAGGTAATATAAAATGTGGATTGATTAGAGTCTGTATATTAATATTAATTAACTTAAATTGTAATGTGCTTGTTTAGGAACAAAGTGATAAATACAAGGAACTCAGGAGAGGCCAAATTCCTCATACCACTAGCCGTAAAAGGATGATTCGACTTGCAGATGAGATGGTATATTTGTAATTTCCAAACCTTTGGAGTTAGAAATAACTTCAATTGCTGACAAAAAAATTCATATCAATTGTAGAGGAAAAACAGTAGTGATCCTAGAAAGGTAACTAGAACAAAGGTTTGGGTCTCCGGTCACACGCATTCTGATGGAAGACCTGTGAGTCAAGAATTTTCAGAAACAATAGTAAGATGGTTTTATTTCGTAGATTTAAATTTACTTGCAAGTTTGTTAGTATGAGGACACTTTACAACAATCGTTATATATGTTAATGCTGGAGAAGTTTAAGAGAATTGACAGTGAAATGGGGTCAAGTTCAGATAATGTCGGTGAAGATGTTGTCACTCAGGTGCTAGGAAAGGATAAACCAGGAAGAATTAGGGGGATGGTGAGAGGGGTTACTGCAACCAAGTTGACATTCTTACATGCTAGAGACTCCCATGTTCAGAAGCTTCACGATACGTAAGCAGAATTACTCAACAAGATTGAAGATTTGAAAAATGTGGTCAAAGACTTAGCCAGCCAAAAAGTAAGTTCCTAACAATAAACTTTTGACTATATAGCCTTGTAAGTGCTATCTGGTTTTAAGAATCTTGTTTATTTCTGTTTGTGTTAGAAAAAAACGATTATCGTTCTAGTTCTGAAGTAAGTGATATTAGCAAGGGAGGAATAAGGTGCCAACTAATTGATTGGGTTCGAATGATGATGTCGTTGTTTCTGAAGGAGAATACCACTCTAGTGAACCCTATTATAAGATTGGTTGAATTCCATTGGGTCCAAATACGGCTGCTGTAGTAGTGAAGTCTGTCTCAGAAGAAACAACACCTATATGGAGACCTACAGCGACTTGTGCTAGGCTTGCTCAGGCGGTTGGGGTGAAAATTGCATGGCCAGCTGATAAGCTAATCATGTACGATGATATTGACTTATCGAACAATGGTAACATCAACGGATCAGAGGTAATTATATATTGTTAAAATCTTCCCTAATATACATTGAATACATGACTACCAAAATTTATCTTTTTTTTAATGATTCAGCCTACTGATGAATCTTTTGGAAAAGTTCAAATCTTTGACTACTGGAAATCAGAAGAAGAATTAATTTCTGAGGGTGTATTATTGTCGACTGATCATGTGTAACTAGTGAACCAAATACCGCTAGGACCGAATGCTGCAATTCTTAGAGTGGAATTGGTTGTGAAATGTGATGCTTTTATTTGGAGACCTACTCATGAAATGACCAAGATAGGTAATGTCCTACATGGGGAAATTGCATGGCCTATCGATAAAATACCACTACCTGATGAAGATTCACCAAAAGAATCAAACCAGAATTCCATTCAGGTATGTTTCTGAAACATCTTATTTATTACTTAACTAAAGTAGTGTGATTCTTGTTGGTGTATGAACTTCTGTTTAGATGATAGTTGGATTCAACGATGATTGTGTTGATTGTCTTTATTACTACTTTCGTTGTAGAGTGGTAGTAACATCAGTGGTTGTAGCAGCAAAAGTGGTAAACAGAAGTGCGCTCTCTTGGACTATAATAACTGTGGACAGAGAGTGGCTTTAGGTCGTGTGTTCTCAACTGATCCAGCAGGGAAAGTGCATTTCGTCCCTTTAGGTCCCAATGCTTCTAAGGTTTGGGTAGAGGTTTCCGAGTTCCATGGGGCACGAGTGTGGAGGTCAAACTCAGAAATTGAATTCATTGGTGATGCAATTAGAAGCACGGTGGCTTGGCCAAATGACAAGCTTGTTTTAATGTAAGAAAGATCTATTGCTTTTGAACTTGTTATGCTATTATGCTAGTTGTAGCACACTTTGAACTACCAATGTTGATTTCTCTACTTTGTAATATTTGACAAGAATGTTTTAATGTTGAATCTTTAAAGTTTATGTTTCATAATATAATTTCTACCAAAAAACTCGAGTCTATAAAAAAATAAATAAATATATATAAATTATAAAATGAAATATATAAATATTATAATTATTTAAATATGTTATATAATAGGATCAATATTAGCTGCTATAATTTTAAAATAATATATATAGCAGGAACTATTAATTGTTATATATGAATTAAAAATAACTTCTCAAAAACGCTGTTAATAATATAACTAATAACATTAATGACGCACTATTAAATAGGTTACTATTGCAAATAAAGAAGCACTATCGATTCCGAAGAAAAGATAGCATCGCGAACAAGTGTTATCTAATGTGCCATACCTAGTATGACGGGCGATGATACATCGTTCCTTAAACCGCTGTTGAATTGTCAAATAACGTTTTTTTGTCTGCTAGTAAAGCCTATTTTCCTTGTAGTGTTTGATATGTTATGAAATATGTTAATCTTTAGTTGTGTATAACATTAATACATTTTCATGTTTAGAATCTTATAAAACACACAAATAGAATATATAAAATTAATATGATATCATTTTCATCAAAATTATAATTATAAGTTATATTTATTAAATCTTAAATCAAATAAATAAATAAAGTATTATTAAAAAAATAAATGATAGATTAGGCAGCTGCCTAGGCGGCTAGGCGGTTATCTAAGCGGTTTAGACGAGCTAAAATCGGATGACCGATATTCTACAGTGAATAGACATAAATCGGAACGGAAGAGGGTCGCCTAACGCATAGACGAGCCGCCTAGGTGGCCGATTTTCAGAACAGAGAACACGAATGAAAGTACTCCAATGTGAGCATTGGTTTAAGGAAGATTTTTTATTTGAGTTTAATTCTGACCAAAAACTTAAAATAAGAATATGTTTTTCATGCGACTTATGGACTGGGGACCATGTTTTGGTGGGAAACATTGGACGGCATGATAGGACATGCAATAGCACGATGATCACACATACGTTTAGAGGCTAACCACATAACACTTTTCACAGATAAGAGCCACACAACGCTTGAGAGTAAGCGTGGTAGTAACAGCAGTGGTTGTAGCAGCACTTTGCCGATTTTATGACTACGTTTTCTCTGCTTTTCATAATATATTACGTCTAAATATGTACTTAATAAGCGTGTTGGACTCTTGCAAAATGAACTTGCATTTAATTACGTAACGCTGAGGTTTCTTCAACACACGGGTTAAATGATCTGATTAATGAGAGGACATAGTAGCTTGCCTTTGGATGAAGACATATGTCCTAACATGACGTCTCCTAACATGTATGAGCGGAAGATGTTACACTACTTGTTTAGCACGAGCCTATAGCTTAGACTCAATATATTTTTATCAAAAAAGTGATTTATAATTGATTAGAAGTAAGAGCCAATTCGAGCCACCCCCAGTGACGGAGGATTGAAACCGATTGTCCGTTGTAGCACTAGTAGAAATGAGAGTAGCTATATCTTGTTCCTTTGTGCAAAAGCATATGCTCGTTTATGAAGAATCGCAGGACTTACAGAATCGTTTCAGTGAGGAGGCAAAATGAATGTTTTCACACTTGGAGTATCTCACAAAAACTAAAAATAATAATTGTATCGAAATGAGTAAATATATTAACGTCTCAAATGACGTAGTTTTGGATGAGTATCTTTTATTTTTAACACGGATTAATTAAATTATTACAAACTATGAAAAATATTACATAAATAATTTTACATTTGACAATGTTATCTATTTTATGAGAATTCACGTAAAACTGCACCACGATCTACTTTTTGAGGGTACACACCCTTCACCATGCTAAAAATCTCTTAGTCATTTTCTCCACAATTCGCATTCTCGTGAACACGGATCTCCTGATATTAAAAACATTAATGAACTCTTAGTCAAATCACTAGACTAATAGTACTTCCACAGTGAGTATCTTAATATATAAAATATTTATTAATTTAACTATTAATTGTTTTATTCTTGTGAGATGATCAAAACTGAAAACACTTTAACAAAGTTGCTCTAACATCTCCCAGTCCCAGCAAACACCACCATCGAATATTAACCATACATGAAGCCCAGCCCTACCTATATAAGCCGGAGTGGAGTGTTTTCATGCATCAAATTATCAGCCACGAACATATATAACTCAATGGCTACTTTATGTATTGGTTCAACTCATATTTATCATAATTCTCTTTTAACTACTTCTCAAAGTCCTCGGCGTTTGGCATGGACATCAATTACTGCTACTGCTGACACTCTTCGAGGCTCAGCAAACTATCAGCCTTCTCATTGGGACCACGAATTCCTTCTTTCACTCAAAAATATATATGTGGTATGTCTTTTCTGAGAATTCCTTTATTTCGATCTAATTTTCTAACATAGTAATACGATCCAAGCAGAGGGAAAATAGTGTGAGACATAGAGATTTTCTAAGAGGAAAGGTGAGGAAGATGCTTGATGAGACGACGACTCGCCTTGAGAAACTTGAGCTAGTTGACAAATTACAGAAGCTTGGGGTCTCATATCATTTTGAGTGTAAAATTGACAAGATTTTAGCGGATGTTTATCATAATAATGTAAGAGATTGTGGCAAAGAAGATTTACATGCTACCGCACTCGAATTTCGACTCCTTAGGGAACATGGTTTCAATGTCTCAGAAGGTCAGTATATGCCATAATAGTTATTCATCAAATACTGAATTTCTGATTTATATGTGTTAAATTCCATGCATGTTAATAAAGAGATTGTACGTTTATTTCAGGCATATTTGATGTGTTCATCAACAAAATAGAAGACCGTACGTTCAAGAGTGGTGATATAAAAGGCCTCATTTCTGTATACGAAGCATCCTATCTCGCGACAAAGTTGGATACTAAATTGCATAAAGTCATTAGGCCTTATGCAAACCAACAACTAAGAAAAATCATTGCTAGTCCTGATCATCATATTTACAATACAGATGCCCTTGAGATGGCAGTCGAAGCACTAGAGATGCCTTACCATTGGAGAATGAAAAGGCTAGAAACAAGAAGATACATAGATGCGTACAACAAACATGATGTCTTGATCGAATTGGCCAAGATCGACTTTAATATCGTACAAGCTGTCCATCAAGATGAACTGATAGAGAGCGGAAGCTTAGTAATTCAAGATCAAGGGTTTGATCTTCAATCGGGTAACGTGTTCTCGAAGTAATTCGAAAACTAATGGGATAGGTCGCGAATACTCTTCGCAGTGCTTGCAAGAAGCTCTTTAAAACGATAAAGCTTTATTCAATATTCAAAGTAATCTGCCTGAAAACAATAACGTGATCTTCTNAAGAAGCTCTTTAAAACGATAAAGCTTTATTCAATATTCAAAGTAATCTGCCTGAAAACAATAACGTGATCTTCTTTTATAGGAGAAGAAGATCCTAATATCAAAAGGAAAGAGGAAAAACAAAAAGGAAAACTAAAACGAAATAGGAAAAAGAGAACATAGGGTTTTAGTGCTTCCAAGTCGATGTTATGCTACATCAGGTCCCTCCGGGTCGGAAGGATTCGTCCTCGAATCTGGCGGGATGTTATCACCATGAAAACGAGACAAGTGTTTAACATTAAACACATTTGACGTCCGCAAATTGTCTGGAAGCCGCACCCGATATGCATTAGGATTAATACGTTCAAGGACCTCTACCGGACCAATCTTCTTAGACTTCAGTTTGTTGTACTCACGCAAAGGTAAACGCTCCTTCGTTAAGTAGACCCAAACTAAATCTCCTGGTGCAAACAACACTTCACGCCTCTTAGCATCGGCCGCTGCTTTGTACTTCGTTGATGATGATTCCAAATGGCGCTGAGCTTGCTTGTGTATGTCTTGAAGATCTGTAACGAAGTCCACAGCTTCGCCATGATGCCTAGTTTTATCCGGGGGAGTTATAAGATCCAAAGGACAACGAGGCACAAGACCATAGACCACACGGAATGGTGAAAACCCCAAACTTCTATTCAAAGCGTGGTTATGCGCGAACTCTGCTTGACACAATTTGGCATCCCACGACTTGATGTTGTCGCCTACCAAGCAACGCAATAAGTTTCCCAAAGAGCGATTAGTTACCTCCGTCTGACCATCGGTTTGAGGATGATAAGCAGAGCTCATATCCAGTGTTGTCCCAAGAAGCTTCCACAAAGACCGCCAGAAGTGGCTTAGAAATCGAGTGTCACGATCTGAAACTATCGAAGAAGGTAAGCCATGTAACCTGTATATCTCGCGAAAGAAGAGCACAGCCACACTAACTGCATCGGTGGTCTTTTTACAAGCAACAAAATGGGCCATCTTTGAGAAGCGATCGACAACCACAAATATAGAATCATGGCCACGCTGTGTACGGGGAAGTCCAAGGACAAAATCCATACTAACGTCAGTCCAAGGTTGGGTTGGAATAGGAAGAGGTAAATATAATCCTGCATTTGTTGCCTTGCCTTTAGCTTGTTGACAAGTTCTGCAGCGTGCGACAAATCTCTCAACGTCACGTCGAAGAGTTGGCCAGAAATAAGACGCAGTGACCAATTGGAGTGTGCGATCACGGCCAACGTGACCCTCGTTATGAAGCTCGGTGATTATCTGCAACCGTAGGCTACCATCGGGTATACATAATCGCAATCCCCTAAACAGAAAGCCATCTTGCAGCGAATAATCCTCAGAGCGGCCATTCTTCACGTCAAGAAAGATTCGCGAAAAGAATGGGTCAGACTCGTAAAGCTCTGCCAATGACTCAAAACCGATCACTGAAGTGTGCATGGTAGTAAGTAAACTATGACGCCTACTCAATGCATCCGCAACGCGATTAGTTTTGCCTGATTGATGACGAATAGAGAATGTGAATTGTTGTAAATACGAGATCCATCCGGCATGACGTGAAGACACCTTAGCTTGACTATCCAGATGACGCAAAGCGTCATGATCCGTGAAGAGTATGAATTCCCGATGAACCAAGTAGTGACGCCAGTGTTTGATAGCTTGAACAATGGCGTAAAACTCGACGTCATATGTGCTGTAACGACTACGCGCACCCGCCAATTTTTCACTATAATAAGCAACTGGTCTTCCGTTCTGGCTTAAAACGGCACCAATGCCCAGTTTAGAAGCATCGCTGTGAAGCTCAAAGGTAGCCTCGAAGTCGGGAAGAACCAAAATAGGCGCAGATGTGAGCTTCTCTTTGATAGTGCCAAAGGCGTGTGAGGCTTCCGATGTCCATTCGAATTTACCCTCGCGCATGCAGTTTGTTATTGGAGCCATGATCGAGCTGAAATGAGGCACAAATCGCCGATAGAAAGATGCAAGTCCGTGAAAACTACGTACTTCGGAAATAGTACGAGGCGTCGGCCAAGACTTTACTGCTTCGATCTTTGATGTATCAACAGCAAGACCACGATCAGAAACCACATATCCGAGAAATAGGACCTGAGAAACGCCAAACTCGCATTTATGTCTAGCCGCATAGAATTCATCTTTGCGCAAAACCTGAAGGACCTGGCGTAAGTGATCCTTGTGATCTTGTAAGGAAGAGCTGAAGATAAGAATGTCGTCGAAATAGACTACAACGAACTTGCCAATAAACGGTCGTAATGCTTGATTCATGATCCTCATGAAAGTGCTGGGAGCATTGGAAAGTCCAAACGGCATTACTAACCATTCAAATAGACCTTCTCTGGTTTTGAATGCGGTTTTCCATTCATCACCTGGACGAATCCGTATCTGGTGATAACCACTTTTGAGGTCGATCTTGGAAAAGACTTTAGATGTGCCGATCTGATCCAAAAGGTCATCCAAACGTGGTATTGGAAACCTATACCGGACCGTGATCTTGTTAATTGCCCGACTATCAACACACATGCGCCATGAACCATCTTTCTTGGGAATTAAGAGGGCCGGGACTGCACATGCACTTAAACTCTCTCGGATATGACCTTTGTGTAAGAGCTCCTCCACTTGACGTCGCAATTCTTCATGTTCTGTTGGGCTCATACGGTAATGAGGTCGGTTTGGTAGTGTTGCACCGGGAACGAGATCAATTTGGTGTTGTAAATCCCGCAAAGGAGGTAGTCCGTGAGGGAGGTCTGTGGGAAATACGTCACAAAATTCGTCCAAAATAGGAGTTAGAGATTGTTCTGGAGTAGTTGTTGTCGTGAGATTCGCATGTGTGGGAAAAAGGGCATACGCGCGACCTTCTTTGCGTAGCTCGGTTATGAATGAAGAGTAAGAGCAAAGTAAGGTTTTGGTGGGTGGTGTTGGAGCGAGATGATCTGGCGGGGAGGTAGCTGAGGCTGGTGGAGTGGTGATGGCGGACTCTTTGGATGGTAAAAGCAAGATAGTATGATTATTCCACATAATCTGATAGGTGTTGTCTGCGCCGTGATGGATGACTTTGCGGTCGTACTCCCATGGTCTGCCCAATAGTAAGTGACTGATATCCATAGGAGCTATATCACAATACAGACGGTCCTTGTAGTGAGACCCGACAGAGAAAGACACCACCGCGCGCTGAGAAATACGCACCGTAGCACTATCATTAAGCCATCCTAAAGTATAAGGTGCTGGATGATTTTCACGGATCAACCCAAGCTTTGTGACTGCTTCGTCTGATATGACGTTTCTGCAACTGCCGGAGTCGATAACAAAACTGCAAACACGGTCATTGATGGTGCAGGTGGAGCGAAAAATGTTGGTGCGCAACCACTTATCGTTGTGTAGTTTAGGCGTTAAACATGAGCGACGCAAGACAAGCATTTGACCGGTGTCGCCTGTAGTAGGGTGTACTGGTTCTATGGCTTCGTCCTCTACTTCGTCTTGTGAGTCATATAACTCCTGATCATTGACCTGACCATCCGCTATCAACCCTCGACGTGTGGCGTGCGGACACGCTGTTTGCCTGTGGCCATGTTCGCCACAAGAGAAACAACGAAGTGCACTCGGTCGAGTAGAACGACGCAATTGTTGTTCTTCTGGTGCTGCCGGACGAGTGTTAGAAGTGTTGGAAGTGCCTGTGTCGCCCGTGTCTTTTGCTGCTGTTGAAGCTGATGCCCCCGTAGGATCCTGAGTTTTAGTACGCGAGAATGATGAGTTCCAGGAAGAGGATCGCTGTTGCTGCTCGAAAGTGGCTGCTCGATGATGAGCTTCTCCGACCGTGGCTGGGTCGAATTGAGCCAAGGCGTTTTGGAGTTGTGGTTTTAAACCTCCAATGAAACGAGACACTAACTGTATCTGACTATCGTTGATTTCCGTTCGCGTTAATAACAAAGAGAATTCTTCAGCATAGTCATCCACGCTACGATTTCCTTGGCGCAAGTTCTGTAACTTGTTGTAGACGACACGGTCGTAGTTGTGAGGGAGGAATGTCTGTCGTAGGTGTTTAGTTAACTTCTCCCACGACTGAATAGGTTCTTTACCGTTGCGAGAACGTGTTGTTTTGAGCTGTTTCCACCACGCTGCAGCGTGACCGCGAAAACGCATAACAACGAGAGCAACACGACGCGCGGGAGGTACACGTTTGAACTCAAGAATTTCTTCAACGGAGAGAAGCCAATCAATAAGATCGTCACCCTTAATTCCTCCATGGAATTCTGGGATCTCAACCCTGAAAGCTCGTTCCCAATTATTGTTATCTTGTTGGCGAAGATCATCGTGATAAACACGGCGATGCACGTCGGCTGGGTCGTCTTCATCTTCTTGGAATTGTGCATCTCCGATCCCGTGTTGACGCTGATTCCGTTGGCGATGCGGTGGTTGATGGTGGGGTAGTTGCTGAAGTGGTAACTGCTGGTGTTGTGGTTGGTGTTGCGGTAGTGGTCGAGGGGCATTAACAGCCTGCTGGTGTTGAGGTTCCAGGCGAGTTATCAACGCTGTGGTCATGGTATCCAACCGAGTTGTCAACGTTTCACCCAATTGGTGGATAGAGTTCTGCATCGACGTCTGGATGGTAGTGGCGAGAGCTGTCTGCATCTCGATGATTAGGGCTCGCAAATCATCCATCTCATGAGAAGTTCCGTCTGCCGTTTTCTTTGTCATTGAAAACGAGAGATGAGTTCCCGAAACGTTCTGATTCTGATACCAACTGATAGAGAGCGGAAGCTTAGTAATTCAAGATCAAGGGTTTGATCTTCAATCGGGTAACGTGTTCTCGAAGTAATTCGAAAACTAATGGGATAGGTCGCGAATACTCTTCGCAGTGCTTGCAAGAAGCTCTTTAAAACGATAAAGCTTTATTCAATATTCAAAGTAATCTGCCTGAAAACAATAACGTGATCTTCTNAAGAAGCTCTTTAAAACGATAAAGCTTTATTCAATATTCAAAGTAATCTGCCTGAAAACAATAACGTGATCTTCTTTTATAGGAGAAGAAGATCCTAATATCAAAAGGAAAGAGGAAAAACAAAAAGGAAAACTAAAACGAAATAGGAAAAAGAGAACATAGGGTTTTAGTGCTTCCAAGTCGATGTTATGCTACATCATGAACTCAGATTCCTCTCAAGGTAATAATAATTTAAAACAGTCAATTAAAAAAATTGATTAAAATTTTCAATTTTTATGGTAAAAAGATATGCATACCATAAATAAACAATATATTTATTCACAAAAAGTTATATAGGCAGAAGGCAGTATATTCTTTATTTCTTCACTGTTTATATGTGGTGTGAAGCTGGTGGAAGGAGACGGGCTTGAGTAATCAACTTCACTTTGCAAGAGACAGAATAGTAGAGAATTACTTTTGGACTATTGGACAAATCCACGAACCTCAATTTGGATACATACGAGTAATAATGACGAAAATAAATTCACTTATTACAGCCATCGATGACATTTACGATGTCTATGGCACTCTTGATGAACTTAAGCAATTTACTACTATGGTTGAAAAGTAAGTACTCAGTTTCTTCTCTTGGCTTATTACAAAAATTATTATGTCACAGAACTAAATTGAAAATATAGATAAGCACATCGTCTGGGTTATATATATATATATATGTGTGTGTGTGTATTTTTGTGTGTTACAGTTGGGATGTAAATCGGCTTGATGAACTTCCGGGGTACATGAAGCTGTGTTATCTTGTATTATACAATGAAATAAATAGCATTGGACGTGATATTCTCAAAGATAGAAATATTAATGTGATCCCTTTCCTGAGAAAGTCGGTAAGTATATAAATTTTTTATATAATTAATGGTTTTAATTATAATATAAATTTTAATTAAAAGTGCTGTTAATCATCTTAAATGAGTGGGGAGATTTATGTAAAGCATATCTAGTTGAAGCGAAGTGGCAAAAAAGGAAACATAAACCAAGTGTTAATGAGTACATGCAAAATGCTTGGATTTCAATATCGGCCCCAACTTTATTAGCCCACTTTTACTGCGTCTTTTCCGACCAAATATCTAGTCAGGCCCTGGAGACTTTGTCCCGACACCAACATATCGTTCGATGCTCTGCCATCGTGTTACGCCTAGCTAACGACCTTGGAACTTCGCCGGTAAATAATTGTTCCTCTACCTTTCTAATTATTAGCATGTACACTATTATTTAAAAATTAACGAGCGTGAAATTTTCTAACACAAAAAATTCATATCGTACCTATAGTAGGACAGGCTAAATCATGATAATCACAAATGAAACTATATATTATAGCAATAACAAAGAATTATATCACTAAATATATGAAGATATATGAATAAAAAAATAAAAGGTTTGTCTACTGATGTAGGATGAATTGAAAAGAGGTGACGTTCTCAAATCAGTCCAGTGTTACATGAATGAGACGGGAGCTTCGGAAGAAAAGTCACGTGCGTACGTGCAGGAGATGATCAGCAACACATGGGATGAGATGAATTACGAGATAATTTCACATGACTCATCGTTACTTCCTCGGGGTTTTGTGAAAGCTGCAATAAACCTGGCACGCACGTCGCAGTGTATGTATCAACACGGTGATGGCCATGGCTCTCCGGACAAAGCAAAGACTGTTGATCGTGTTTTGTCTATATTAGTTAATCCCATTCCCTTAGACTAACTTAAGTATACATTAATATTATGTTTTATAGGTGGGTGATAAGAATTTGTTTAAAGAGTTAATGAAACCCTCTTAGCCAGAACCCCCCCCCCCCCCCCCCCCCCTACAATCTACCATTAGTAGTAACCAATAATTTTAATTTCCTTCTATATTCTTTTTATATGGGAATTGGCTTATTCATGGGCTTATACATTACTTTGTTTTCGAGTCTTGATAAAATCTTCAAACGTATTCATTTTCTTCACTTTTATTTGCTGGTGTGAAAAAAGTCAAATGGTCGGGAGTCTACAGTATTTGCAATTCACAAGGCTCGACATTCGTTGTGTATGTGGTAAAAGGCAGTCCTAGTTCATGAATCGGTCGACTGCCAACCTGCCAAGCGAATTATTCGATACCTTGCTGAAACACCAAACCATGGTATATACTTTAGCTAGAAACCCACTGATTACATGCTTATTCTGACACAGATTGGGTCGGAGATTCTGATGATTACATCTCCATCGAGCTTGTACATCAGCCATGTTCGTTAAACAAACGCTGCAGCTGCGACTACAGATCAAAATTTAGAAGGAAAAAAGAGTATTCAAAAGGAAAGAGAGAAGAACAGGGGAAGAAATCTTCATTTATTGTGACGCTGCGTTTCTGTTTTCAGTCGCAGATGTGAGATAACAAACTAAGTCCCACATTGGAGAATTAGACTAGAAGAGTCTAATATATAAAGAGATGTCCAACTCTAATAGTACGAGGCCTTTTGGAAAGGAAACCAAAAGTAAATCCATGCGGGCTTGTCTATCAAGCCCAAAGTGGACAATATCATAATAATAAGAAAAGATAGAGTTGGACATGGGCTTTCACAATCCCAACAATTGGTATCAGAGCGGTTGACGAGAAATCTGCAAGAAGACCAAAATACCATTCGAGAGATAAGTGGGTATCCTATGAGTTAGGAATGAGAGGTCGGTGGCAGAAATCAAGTCAGAAGATCCTGGAAATCAGTTGTGGGACACGAGATAAAATGTGATCCTTACTTTGAGGGGGAGAATGTGAGATAACAAACTAAGTCCCACATTGGAGAATTAGACTAGAAGAGTCTAATATATAAAGAGATGTCCAACTCTAATAGTACGAGGCCTTTTGGAAAGGAAACCAAAAGTAAATCCAGACATGGGCTTTCACAATCCCAACAGCAGAGAGTAGAGAGAAATGAGAAATAATGGTCGCTACTTTTTTTGGTGTCAGGCGGCAACACCGGAAAGCTTCACTTTTTCTGATGCGGCGTCCCTGTTTTTCGTTTCATTTAATCAATGATGAAGAAACTTATGAATAAATCTTAGACGCCAATGTCGAACGCAGCGTTCATTAAAACATAGGTATCATATACCTCGACAAACTTTCTATCTCCTGGACTGCTAAGAAACAGAGGTGTCGCACGTTCATCTAATATAGGACTGTTGTAGACACTGTCTGAAATTAATTGGATTTGCATCCTAACCAAACTTGGCATCACAATACTTGTTCTGTAACAATGTGGGAGACACCTTTCTCTATGCAAATTCGGTCTTCCACTCCTAAATGAGGCATGTCACCATTGACTATCATTTTGTTTGTGGACAAGTACAACATGAAGCCTGACGTGTTTCCCTTGTCAGCAAGTGAAACCAGCTCACAGAGGCGTTAACCAAACCCCTACTGTGAGCACGATTCATGGAACTAAGACACAAGATGGGAGTGTGCTCAGCCCCTCCATCTTGCGGGGTGTGTCAAAGATATTGTATATTCTTAACGTATATCACGAGATTATAATCTCCTCTGTTTTAGGAAACTCTTTCTCATCACTCTTGTATATAATACTCCCTCTGTTTTAAAGATGAACACCCACTTTAGCCAAATAACGCTAAATCTACCATTAGTAGTAATCACGCCCTTCTATATTATTTTCCTCTCGGTTTAAGAGAAAATATGAGGGTGATTGGTGAGAGCTTTAGATTCTGTACACAGCTTCTTTTTTTTCCACAGCACTAATGGTAAAGCTATCAAGCTTTTATTTATTTTTGAAACTTACAGCAATAATAAACTTTGTCTACCATATATGCTTTTTGCAATCAATTTTTCTAGAGCATTATTTCAAGTGCTTTGAAAATAATCTTTTCTTTCTTTTGAAAAATATTTTACTGTCTCTCTATTAAATATATATATATATATATATATGTAATATTTATAATACATGTATATAAACAAATAGAATATTGTAATTACTATGTAAATATTAAGTAAAGCATATATAAATTTCACATTTAATGATTAAATATTATATATGATTATATCTTTTCACAACAATCCTTTTATAATTATACATAATAATTTATATTTATGTTTATTAATTTTATCAATTTGGTTTTGATTTTGAATCACAATTTAATATTTAATCAACTACACATAACAGATTTCTCTTAAAAATTCATTCATTTTTATAATTATATTACAAAAATCCACAAGTTGTATTATACATTAAAAAATATAAAGTTACTACACAAAAGTTTACAACTTAGATTCTAAAGCAAAAAAATCTAAACGACATCACAAAAACCTATAGCTTAGATTCTACAACAACATATCTAAAGGTACAACAGTAACTTATCGGACCCTATATAAACGTACTCACTTTCTTGACTTTTGTTTGCTGGTGTCAAATAGGCAAGCATGATGACAAAGTCTTGGTGAATATATTATGGAGTTGGTAGAACGATGAAATATAGAAATTCGAATTCTGAATTCTTTGTAAAAAGAATCGATTGACTATGGACAGATGATCAGAGTATGTGTTTCTATATCAACATTTCTCATTTTCTCACAGTTTTTCTTTGTCAAAAAAAAAAACATTTCTCACAGTTTCAAATCAACGTTGATAATAGTGAATCGGCACATATTTTTCCAAACACTGCCCCCTTCTCATATTTGGCTTTCTTCTGCTTTGTGTAAGGATTAACCAACTTCTTCCTTAAATCAATGAAATGATTTCTCCTGAAAAGATGTTGCTCATATTACTACACATACTAGGTAGTAATCCGTGCTTTGCACGGAATGAGATAACTATTAAAACTATATATATATATATATATATATATATATATATATATATATAAATTTGTTAAATTATTCATTATATATGCATGTTTTAATAAAAAATAGTCAAACTCACATTAGGATTAATGCGAATAATATCAATGGTGAGGCCACCGGCAGCGGCAGAGTATTGTTTCCAAAATCTTATAATACTCTTTTTTATCTTCTGTATTGTCTTCAATGGTTTCAAATCGGCTATAAAGTTGAAAACCACCATTAGTGATTTGCTTGCGAAAAAGGGATTATGATGATTGTTTGAGAGGAAGAATTGTAATGAGAAAATACGTTCAGCGACATCTTATTTATATAAGGAGTAACTGGGGTATAGAGTTATACGGTGAAATCTTCTGGAATCACCATCATTACTTTTTCTTCTTGAAATCGAAATAATGCGAGAATTATTTACAAATTAGTATCTCAAAATTAGTGCTACATGTTACATATGAAAATTTTCTTATCACATAATATAATTAAAACCGGGCCACAAATTACATAAATACTTTCCTTAACACAAAATATAATGAATACACAGGCTATGGGTGTTTGGTCTAGATTTTGATTCTTTTTTGGTTCGTTTATTTCAAGTTTTGATATTTCATGGTTTTTAATAGCTACCATATTATATACTTTGGTTTAGTTTATATACCGACGGTTTTTGGTCTATTTGGTTTTATACACAAAGTACCATAAATGTATTGAAAACAATTATTAAATATAATAGGTTAATAATAATAATTTTCATAAAACAAAATAATAAAATTTAGTTGTATTATAATATTACTAAATATGTCACCGAAAAATTAAAATTATGTTTTATTTGATTTAATAGAATAATTAACATATGATTTCATGCTTTGATTAATTTTCATTTCAAATTGTTATGTTTAGTTTGTAAATAGTGGTCCGTCCGCGCTGCGCGCGGGTTATCAGATATTTGTATTATTTAAAAATTTTAAATTATTTCTTGGTTTGTAATGTAATATTTTTATTGTGTTTTGTTTATGAGAATGGTCTATTATGATATCAATGTGATGGCATTAGAGTTAAATGGTGGAGATTTGGAAATTATTTTAAAATTCTTGAGTCATAGATGTTATTTTTTTGTTTCACAATTTTTATTTTTTTCAGGATCAGAGATAATAGCTATGAGAATATTTTTCATAAAAATTTATTTGAAAACAAAGTCTAACAATTTATTCTAAAAGCAAAATTAAACATAACCTTTGGAAGAAATTTAAGAGGAACATAAATGTTCAACTTACACTGAGAAACAAAACAAATAAATCAAAAGTGGAAGGAGTACGTCATCATGTTAATGGTAAGCATGTTTCCCATATAGGTCTTCTTTTAGTTAAGGTGATCACTGAAGCCCATTATCCTTTTGTAGAACTCGGTTACCAAAAAGAAGTGGAAACAGTTGGAGCAAACCGTGATCTCCGTCCCTTGTTGAGGATGGCAGTTCTGAGGTGGCCACATATTCTTTAGTGAGATAAGACATATATCCTTCATGTGAAATTGTTGGTGCTCAAGAGATTGATGAAAATTCGCCATACAATCTTCTAGTACTGGAATACCTTGCTCATCAGTGAGTTTGTTAATGTTTTTAACCCCTAAGTCAGTTTCGCCGATGGCCATAAGGAGGACGCCGTAACCGTACCTTCCTCGGAGGTGACCACCATTTGAGGCAATGTGGATGTGATGTAGACCTAGGGACTGATTTCGAGTTTCAAAGAATTCTAGCATGCCTTTAACATAGTGAGCGTCAACATTGTTCGCGTTGAGGCAGTTTTGCACCAACTTTTGTTACCGATGAGCTAGAGCAAGCTTCTTCACCAAAGGTGAGAGGTTGAGATCCTTTGCAACAAAGAAGTTCTCAG